GTTTACGTCCATTCTCGATCGACACGACGTCAAATTGTCCTATTAACGTCACCTAATGATATTCGACGTAAACTTTACGTCACCCGCTATGGCGTCGGTCGCGAATTCATCGTTAAAAGCCAAAACTAACCGACATAATACGTTGTTTTTGTACTAGTGATTTATATCAAATGAAAGAAAGATTACATGTGATGCTCGTCAAACTTCGTTCCAGAAAAGTTTGAGAAGAGAAGAGAGTATCGCGCGCTAAGATAAAGTGAATGAAGTTCAACTAAACAACAACAACAAACAAGTTCAACTAAGCAATAACAACATACAAGTTCAACTAAACAATAACAACAAAAAAGTTCAACAAAAAAGTTCAACAAAAAAACAACAAACAAGTTCAACAAAAAAGTTCTTTAAAACAAAAACGTAAACTAACCTTCAAAAGGTGGGTTCGTCGGAATAAAGTTTCGTCATAGTGAGAGAGAAAGCAGAATGTGCCTACGAAGGACAAGAGCACGAAAATAATCGCTTAAAACAAACAAAAATCATATATAAATTAACTAATTAACATGCATTTTTATTAAATGAAAGAAAGATTACATGTGATGCTTGATAACAGTTGAAAAACTGTTATTTTTATAGTTAATTTTGACCTGAAATACAACCTTTATGACTTAGATATTAGCTTGGAATCATGTTTTTGATTAAGTTTTGGAAATAATAGAGTTGGATAGGTTTTATGCTTGGTTTTCCTTGTTTTTGTAGGTTTTAAGATGAATTGAATGAAAAAAGTGAAGTAGCCAGAAGTTGGACTTAGAAAAGAAAGAAAAAGTGCACAAAAGAAGAGCCGCAAGTACCGCTCAGCGCCACTTTTACTGCTAAGCGGCACTCTGAAGTCCCGCAGTCAACGTTGAGGGGAAAACTGCAGCTGAGCGTCAAAATAGAAGAATCGCACTTACCGCTAAGCGGTAATTACCACTGAGCGCCATTTTATTGGGCCTTGGGCCAATTTTCTGTAAATTTTAGGAAGCTATATAAGGTTTTAGCCGAATTAGGGTTAGTATCTTTGGACAGAAAGAGGCGAAATCACACTTTCTTCACCTCTAGGAGAAGGATTTTGGATGCTCAAGCTCTATTCTTCAACTTCTAGGGTTCTATCTTTCATTCTTTCATTGTTTTTCATTTAGTTTCACCATGTCTGTGGTGAACTAAACCTTCATTGTTGTTAGGGAACCGATGTAATCCTTTGAAACTCTCATGTATTGAATTTGTTCTATATTCTATATGCTTTCTTTCATTAATTGTTAGGGTTTTCTTCTATACTCTATACATGCTTTGTTTAACTCATTCAATTGCATGATCATTGATGTTATTTGTATGGACACATATAAGTAAATCTAGAACTGAAGAAATTCTCCCAAGAGCAATATTGCCTAGACATAAGATTAGGAGGATTGGTTGTAATGCATGAATAATTGTTAGGGAGACAAGACATTGTAAACTAGTGATTAGGAGTAGGCTTTCTTCACCGAGACATCGAGTTTAAGGTAAATTAGAAAGTGGCATTAACATTAATGAAGAAAGATGAATTCTTGAATACATAAGAGTGGATAGGATGAATCAAAAACCCCAACAACATAATCATTCATATTATACATCAACCGTTTTTGCATCTTTCAAGTCCATTGATCAAAACTTTGCATTCATATTTATTTTTCATAGTTCAACAACAATATTTTCGGTTACAAGTCTAAGATAATCAACAAATCACATAACTATTTAGGCCGTGAGTCCTTTGGGAAACGATACTTGGTCTTACCATTTTATTATTACATGATACGATTCGGTACACTTGCCGAGGGTTAACAATGCTCATCAAACTTCGTTCGAGAAAAGTTTGAGAAGAGAAGAGAGTATCGCGCGCTAAGATAAAGTGAATGAATTTTCAATCTCCAGCTCAAATTTTTATAAAATTCACTAACCTTTTAACGTCGAATTTAAAAGTCATTCGACGTTTTATATCCTTTTACGTCGAATTACAATTCTAAATGACGTTTAATAATTGCAATTCATCTCATTTTTTTATATTTTAATTTCAATACCAATAAAGTACTAGATTCTTTATTAAACACAAGTCCTTTGAAATTAAAATTTCACACAATTCATAAATTCAAACATAAAATTCTTTAGAAAATCCCCTAAGGCTCTTTTCACTACATGTCTTTTATCTCCTATGCAAGTCCAGAACCATCTATCAATTTGTCTAGAATATTGCCCACTCCCGTATAACACCATGAATTATACGATCATCACAGTCACATGCACAAACAAGCAAGGGTAAGCTAACCAAAACACAATAAATCATACATCATAATCATACTCACCCACAAAACTCAATTAAACAACATTATTCATGAATTTCAATCTAGTACCAGTTATATCATTCTTGCATAACCTACCATCATACAAATCCTGCTTACCAAAGCAGAGTCCAAACTGAGTCATTATCTCTACTTATAGTCCTGCTTACCAAAGACAGAACACCTTTCTTTGATAAAAGACAGAACACCTTTCTTTGACACTTGAATGGAAGAACTTGCTCAATCAACTTTAAGAGAACCACTTCGACCTTAGACCCACTAAGCGCAAGCTTCTCCTTTTCACCAGACTTGATTTGAGCACACTAACACTTGGGAACTTCCTCAAACTTTTTATGTATTCTCAAATGGCTTAGTTTCCTTTTCACACATAGAGAGTTTCCCTTAGGCACACAACTCTAATACTCTCAAATGAAAAGTTACCCTCTAAGAAATAAGGAGAACTCAATTTATAAGCCAAGGTTCGTGCAAGGTCAGAAACTGAAAAGACATCTCCCAATTGCCACTGATAATCGATTAATCTATTAATTATGGTCGTTATAGGGTATTCAAAAAAGTGATTATCGGTCATCCCCTATGATAATCGATTATTTGCGCGAGCAACTCTTTTCTAATTTGGCTTGTGATAATCGATTATGCCTTGAGATAATCGATTATTGTTTCAACATAGCTATACTAAAAAGCAATTTACAAGTCTTCTTATGATGTATAAGTGAAAGTAAAAGCCTAATACAATGTTTTCTATAAAAAATCTTTAACTATGTAAGTAAATAATTCTTCAAGACTTCAAGTGCATCATCATCAAAATATCTTCAAAGCATCAATGCTTCTCATTGGTAATAGAAAAGAAGAAGAACTCAAAACTAAGTGACTTGAAGACAAGCAAAGCTAGAAACATTTGTTCAACATTTCTTTACTTGCATTCAAAAGTCTCTTTACCAGAACCAAACACTCCTATTTATAGGTAAGGGATGCCTCTAAGTCTGTCTGAAATTCCCTCCAAAAATTCAAATAAATCCAGCTGGATAGGTAAGTTGTCTTGGTCACACAATCTATGCCAAAGCACATGGAAAATGTGGCAGCACATGTGGAAGCAGCTGGCTGGCGTTGGGCACCCTAGGGTTCGTGTTGGGTGGATAGAAATGTAGAAGCTCCTCCAAAGCTTAAGCTAGCTTGATTCTTGAATTTAGAAGCTCCTTTAAAGGTTAAGTTAACTTGATTCTCTGCCCAAAGATGACTTGGTTGGATTGTGCATGGGCCTAGGAATATGTCCTAAAGCTTATTTAGATCCAACAAAACAAAATATACAAGGTTTTAAGAGAAGAGAAAGAAGAATTAATAATCAATCTTCCATAGAATCAATGCCCTTTGTATCCTTCTTCCTCTTGTGTTCTTCTTTCCATGACTCTTGTTAGAGGTCTTATGTTAGCTCTAGATGGTCCTCCATCATATGTTAGTAGAGAATTTGAAATGGCCAACAATTAAAAAGTATGCAACATTTTCATTGTTCTACACAACACTAAGAAAAATATTGACATTGACCATTCAAACAATAAGAAAAAGACCACTACTCACTTTTGCAATTTGTTTTAAATTAAAATTACATTGATGCTCACTATAAATAAATTTATATTAAAAGTCATATTTCTTTACATTTGCGATTCCAATGAAGTATCAAACTGAATAACTAAGTAATTTAAGACTCTTTAAATGTGGAAGGGTAAGACATGAAATGAAGATTACATAAACAAAAGATGTAATCACAATTAAACAATTGCAAAATACACACAAAGACTTATATCCTAAGTCAAATTTACATATGATTTCCAAACTTCATCAATCGTCAATCTTTAAGCATTAGAACTTTCTTTGCCATCAAATAATCAAACCAATGCACATGAAACTTTTATACTGGTTTACTCCAATAGAGCTACATCCAGTTGGTCAAGACAACATGAGCTTGACCTTTCACTAACTCAAGAAATTACAATATCCTTACAATTGAATTCTTGAAAACACAAACCACGCAATACAAGTTTCTTGAATCACATAAGAAACAACAAATGCACGGTAGGAAACCCTCTTGAGCACATGGACTCATACCAAGAATAACACAAAGACATACGAATACACTAGAAGGATCAAACCTGAAGATTGACTCTCCCTAGTAAATCAAGAGCCTTTATACACCTTGCCATCTAGGAGTAATCACATCTCCAACACCTCCAAGATTAGTCACGAACAACGACGACACAATCTTCTTCTTAGAGAATGAGTTTTCCAATTTTCAAAACTGATTTCGTGGTTTTTGAAAGTGTTACTTGTCTCACAGAAAAGAAAGGCTATATAACTTACAAATTGACATGTTTAATCAATTGAAAGTATTTCTCAATCGATTGATTTCACTTGCTTATTGGTTATTATTTCAATCAATTTAACATGTTATTTACAAAACTATATGAAAAAAAAAATTTAACCTATTAAATACAATTTAACAAATTAAATAACTACAAAACACACAAAAACTTCTATCCTAGGTCAGATTTACAAATGATTTCCAAACTTCACCAATCTTCAAGCTTCATTAAATCTTCAAACATCAAACTCTTTTTGCCAACAAAAGAAGGTGAAATACCTTCTCATCATCCTTGCTCCCTAAATCCATCTACCGTCAATGTTTATCCCACGAACATGGCAGATTTTAGGCCAAATTTTACGGTGCTTTCTGTGGCATAGTTTTTGCAGCAAGGGACATCCCTCTATTCTTAATTTTATCAGAGAGACAGGCAGCCTTTCTCCCACGATATTCTCTAACTTTTGACAATTTTCAATGTGCAATTCTTGTAGCAACGTGAGATGGAGAATGCCCTTGCAGTCCAATGTCTCTAGACTTGAGAAATCACATAGATGCAGAGAGGTGAGGGAGGGAAGTAGCAAACCCTCCTTTGGGAAGGAGTTCATGCCATCACATGGACCACAGACTTTGAGAGAGGTAACCATGACCATCGATATCCATTCTAGGCTGCTAAGTAGTTTCTCACAATTCCTTATCTTAACTGTTGTCAAGTTAGGTGGCATACCCTCTTCAGGAAACCCCTCAATTTGTTGGCAGTTGGATATGCTAAGATATTCCATCTTTGGGAGATGAGTTTCCATCTGGTAGGGCAATGAATTCAACTTAACACAACCATAAACACTGAAACGAGTCAAATTGGGCGCAGAAAATCCTTCTTCTGGGAATGACGCAAAGTTGGGGCAGTCCCCAAGCTCAAAAGAATTAAGACTCTTCAACGACTCTGACCTTAAGATCAGAAGAGATTCCAAATTTTCACAGTTTCTGATTTGAAGACTAATAAGATTTGGAAAGTTAACCAGTGGAAGAGACTTGAGCGAATCACAACTGTTATTTATTGACAGTGATTCCAGTAATTTGTGTTTGTGTAACATCGGGAACTTGAGATTGCTTAAACCACTGATATCAAGAGTTTTCAACGATGCTGGAAGACAATCACCAGGAAAAGACAGGGCTAACGAACAATCCTGTAATGACAAGTAATGGAGGCAAGGAAGTTGGATGCTGGTGATTACCTCCATCATGGACTCCACCATTGGCCTTCCTTCTATCTCTATGGTCTCTACCAAAAGAGGAAACTCATGAAACACTATTTTGTTGGTTTTATATATCTCTAATGTTCGAAGGGTGGGAGCCCTTTGTACAGAAGAGACAAGAAGGTCGCAATTTGTAACGACGAGTGTCTGCAGAGCAGGAAGGTGATCTGGAAAATCTCCCCTTAGATTGGGGCACTCACTTATAAGAAGATCATTAAGCACAGGAAAAGCTTCTGAAACAAAGGAACTCCACACCTCCCAATAAGGCATGCGAACAATGTGTAGAGATTGAAGGGCGGGAAAGGGCGTCAGAGATGAACAATCTTCCTTATAAAAGGATGCATCAATAGTCTTCACTGAATTCATCTCTGAAATACGGAGGAGCTTGAGAGATGGTAGTTGGCCAAGTGAAGGAAGCTTGGAACAATTGCTACAATTTGTTAAATATAGATTGGTTATATTTGGGATGGAAAAGTTTCTCATCCATTCGGGAAATCGTGTTCCTTGATAACCGTTTATTGAAAGCGATTCCAGGTTTTGGTGAGGTTGTAACTTACCGAGTACATCTAATTCAATTTGGAAGTCGATGCTATTGTCATTACGCTCAGACCATTCCAAGGATAAATGGTAAATATGCTTCTTATCCATTATCCTTGCCTCTAGTGCTTCTTCACCTGTAGTGACATTCTCTAATTTCTGAACACAAAACCAACCATGGAGATTTGGAAGTCCTCCCAGTTCTTTGATGCTATTCTCTTTATGCTTGCCCACAGTATAGCAATCCAAGTTGTGTAATTGATTTAGTTTCCCCATTCTATGAGGCATCTCTTCTATGGGAGTATTAAGAATTATAAGATGACGCAAGTTTACCAGATTTTGCATGGCTCTTGGCAACTTAGTCAGATTTGAGCAACCATACAACTTTAAAGTCTGTAGATTGTACAAATTACACAATGACTCCGGAAGTGCTGCTATGCTTGTACTAGAGAGATTTAAATAACGCAAATGGATCAATTCACCTATTGAATCAGGCAGATAAAGCTGACTTTGGAATGCACGAAATGATAAAACTCTCAAGTACTTAAGCATGGACACTATAATACATGGTGCCTTCTCGTTGTTGAATGGAGAATCTTCATAATTGATCGGCAAGAAAGTTCTTAGAAACTTGACTGTATCAAAAACCTCAATATCCGAGACAGGATCACTGAATCTTCTAAACGACAAATGACGAGTCTTTATATCTATTTTGGTTTCTTTTCCAAGTTCATTTGCTCTGAAATAGAATTCCCCGCCAAGGAAAGTTGCTAGATCATGCATGAGGTCATGCATCACAAAACAATTACCATAACGATTACCAAAATATTTACCCAAAGCCTGATAAGTTGAACATTGGAAAAACGATCTTGAAACCAAATCGTCAAAATAGTCGTGGCCAACTTCTTCTAAAGTCTTTCCTTTTCTTGGTGTTTTTATAAGATCTTCAGCCATCCACAGCAGGATCAGTTCATCTTTTCTAAATTCAAAATCTTTGGGGTAAAGGGAGCAATACACAAAACACCGTTTTAAATGTGGAGGGAGATGATTATAACTGATTCTGAGAGCTGGAATGATACTTCCAGGAAGTGCCCAAATGTCACTTTCAAGTACATTATTCCAATCCCTAATATCGTGCTTTCTTCTCAACATTCCTCCAAGTGATTGTGCAGCTAACGGCAACCCATCGCACTTTTGAACAATCTTTTTTCCAATATTTTCTAGAGTTCCTCTATTCTCACTGACTTCTGACAGAGGAAATGCAATGCTTTCAAACACCAACCAACAATCTTCATCTAACAATATCTTTAGATCATATTTAGCACTATGAAAAGGGACTCCAGCCGCTACACTTTCATTGCGAGTTGTGACAAGAACTTTGCTTCCCCTAATCCCACTTAGAAATGGTTTTGTAAGACTACTCCAGACATCACAATCCTCGATCCAAACATCATCTAAGACAATCAAGAATCTCTTACCCTTCAGTTTGTCCAACAAGTCATGTTGAATTGAGTTCAGATCACTCAATGTACAAGGCTTTTGAGTAATTTCCTCTAGCATAGCTTTTGTGACCTTCACAATGTCAAATCTATCAGAAACACGAACCCATGCCTTTAAATCAAATATCTGAGTCAATTTGTCATCGTTATACACAGATCGTGCCAAAGTTGTTTTTCCAACCCCAGGCATGCCTACAATAGAGATCACAGACACTGCTTCACTATCACTGCTATCCTCTGACACCAACTTCATTATGGCCTCCTTGTCTTCATCCCTACCGTACATACCATATCTACCTTCCAGTGATGTTGGCTGAGGTTCCGGTGGCTGATCGTTCTCCGCTTCATTCAGCTTCAAACCGAGACTCTCCTTTTGTTTTAAAATGTCATCTAATCTTCCAACAATGTCTTCCAACTTACTAACAATTTTTTTCTTTTTAAAAAGGTCACAAAAGGAATAACTTACCTTCTTTTGAGTAGCAGCTTTAGTAGAAACTTCATCAAGTATGTCGTCCACCTCGTAGACAACATCACTGAGAAGATCGAGCCACTCTTTGATATTGGAGTCTGTGATTTGTTTCTTCTCAGCATCATCAAGCACAACTTTAACGACTAGCAGCTGGTTCTTCATCTTTTGAAGCCACTTGTCAGCTTTCTTTCCACGGATGAAGTTTACAAATTCACGGGTAGCCAGCCTCTCAAAAAGAACGTTAAGGAAGGAAGAAAGGAGTGCACCACCTACTAGGGCTGCTGCCATGATCAAAACAACAAACAAGTGATTCTTTATGAGAAAGGAAAGGAATTGGTTGCAGTGAACTGAGTTGGTTCTTGACAAATGGATCAGAAAGGAAAGGATTTTGAGAGAGCTCTGTAAAATACTTGTCTCAAAATTAACCTTTAGACATATAACATATTAGATAAATATTCGATGGTAGAGATTGAAGATGCCTATCTTGAAAGTTTAGTAATGGTGGGTGCCGTTGTTCAAAAGAGAAGTTTCAAGTATCGATGCTTTTCCAAAGAGAAGGTTTATGTATTGATGCTTCTCAAAAGAGAAGGTTCGTGTCCCAATATTTAAGTTAATTAAAGACATTCAGCATATCTACTTTTTTAGTGTCTGAAAAAAAATATGAAACATAGTGAAATTGTTTGTAATTGAGCCAACTCCAAGTATTGTTAGCGTGGCCGTGACTGACTAATGATGTGAAAGATATAGCAAATTAAATATGATATGGAAAAGACAGAATTATGGAGATGGAAAAGTTGCATCCATAAGGTTCATTATGCGCTCACAGTGCACATTCACTTTTAGACATAATATTAGATGCATGGCCCTTGTAGACGTAATATTAGACATAATATTATGGACCCTCGACAAAATTCATGAATCTCAACGTTCTTAATTTTCATGGTGTGTTTGTGATCCCCAATGCGTGTACAACACCATGCCATGACTGTTTACAAATTGGTGTTTGTAGACCCTTTTGTTGTGATTGTTGCTTAGAATTTTCAGGGCAGATTGTCATGTGTCTAACATACCATCGTAATGGACACAATTTTCAAATGAGTCATTTTCTGAGACCGATAGATGCTATTAGAAGCACATAGAATTACAAGAGACAGGGGAAGCTCTTACAGAATCTGAAGCTTTGGACAATTAAATGTGTTAGTTAGATATGTAATCTCGTAAGATTCTTTATGTAATCTCATGTTTCTCTTGATCAACTACACTACCTGAACTTTGCTTCCGAAGATTCAGTTTACTCAATACAAACACTCCCCTGCACTGACTACGTGAAACGCAGCAGCAGAAGTATCACACATGCAAAACAATGCCAAACTCAAACCAACCCACATATACTCATGTCTTAAGCTTTTGTTTTCTCTCGATGCACTCACAGACAGACTTGTTGGAACATCCATTTGATGAATTACAACCTTCTGGTTGTGTCATATAAACTTCTTCTTCTAATTCTCTGCAAGAGCAATCAATAGCCTTGGAGATTCTAGCCACTGGTCGTAACTCCAATACTCTTAAATTCCAATAAGACTCACATAAGTGACCCATGAAGGTTCGAACCCATGCTATTTGGCTAAAGGGTCAAGCCTTAATCACCAAAAGACAAGTTTTCCATTCATAGTTATACACAAAAATACTTATATAAATAATACAAATCACATCATGTATAAATAAAATAATAAATTAATAAAACAATAAAGTAATTTACCGAAAAAAATCATAACACAAGACCAAAAAAATTTTAATTTATATTTTTTTTTTGATTTTACAATTGTGGACTTAGAGGTTAGTGTTAAGAAAATCTCAAAATACACACACTCAGATATTTTCTTAAAATTGAGTGTGTGTATTGTGAGATTTTCTTAACCGTGGTATCAGAACCGATGGTTTCTCTTGGTGACTGGCTCGGACGAGTATAATGATCCTTATACCGAAAGTCTTCCTGGCAAAGGTTATTCAGGTAAGCGAGTTCCGTTAAGATGAACGACAGTTGGAAAGGGCTACTCGTGGTTGTGGTTGGTTGGGAATGCTTCCGCTGGAGGGGGAGTGTACCTATGTAGAAGGGACTCACCCTAGAGAAGGAGATTGTTGGGAATCCAAGTGTGAGTCCAAGTCCCACATTGGATAGAAATGAGAAAGTAGAGCAGTATATAAAGGTGAAAGACCCATTAACCCATTGCCTTAAGGTTTTGGGAAGAAAGTGGCGTCTATCCCTTATATAGTTGGCTCAAATGTTATTGGTGTTTGTGTAACCCACAGGAAACCTCCTCCTTGATAGACCCAACAGTTAGATTGTTTTATTGATGCATTGAATTGATGTTTTTGAGTTATTTTGAAATTACTTGTGTTGACTAGTTCTTCGAAACCATCTTTACATACCTTTTTATTTTTTTGGGAGCCAAGAAGAGTGTTCATATTCAAACTTTAATTATCATAGTTGACCGTCTTTGTCAACTTGGACATGGACATACTGTTTACAAGGTTCTCTTACTCTTTCTCAAGCACCTAAACACTCAAGCTCTCTAGCTCAAATGTCAATTTGTTGACAACAAATCTTTCTAGATAAACACTCTTTAGTATTATGACTTGTTGTATGAAACTTTGAGTAGTAGATGCACTATTTATAGACCCTTAGTCTTTGCTTTTCAACCACATAAATAAATACAACTACTACCAAAATACTATTAATAAACTTTCATTCTTAAACACAACTACCCAACTACTACCAAAGTACAATTTAATGAAGAAAGAGAAGCATTATACTTGGCTAACTATGCAGAGGCCAATGACAAAGAGGTTGAAATATATGTCGAACAATTCCTAGTGATGCTCAAGTAATTAACTTTATTGTTGTTGGTGCTGTAACATCCCAATTTAGTAATATAAAAATAATAAAATGAAACATTACTAACAAGAACTACAGATTTGGTGAATAAAAATTTTCACCTGAATAACAAAAATAACTACCTATTCTACAAGCTTCTCTTTCACTCCTTCAGCTACTCCACTGAAAAGACTGCATCCCTAAGCTCACACCATTAAGGTAATCATCGCAAAGGAGAAACAACATACAAATACAAACCACAGAAAAGCAAGGGTAAGCTAGTGTAATTTAATATTCTTGTGGAAGTACAATTCAACAATCAACTATATTGACCGACCACTTTGGCTTGACTGTCCGGACTAGCATGAATATGTAGCTTGAGGTCGTTCGTGCACCTTGGTGATGTAGTAATAGGATACCCTCAACTGTCACCAGGGGTTAGTCCGTTATAATTCACCTACGATGCCCTATAGGCTAGGACCTCCTGCTATTCTCACGACATGACTTACCCATCTCTACCTGAGACTTGGTAATCATTAGAATGTCAGGATGAACGTCGTGGATTTCGCTGTCCATATTCATACTTTACCACCACCTTGATAACCAATCACTGAGACATTCCTCCTTGGAATTCTCTTTCATACCAGTTGGAACATCATACCATACTTTAATATCAACATTATTTCTCATACATAATACGTTTAAACAACTAAAATAAACACTTAGAATACAACATAATCACCACTAGGGATGGCAATTTTACCCGCAGGCACGGGTATCCACGGGTCAAATCCGTGGCGGGTAGTAACTATCCGCGGATATTTACTACTCGTGGGTAACGGGTAGCGGATATTTTAATACCCGCTTCTAAACGGGTCAGGTACGAGTAGTATACTACCCGCCCCACGAGTACCCGTTATCCGCAAAAAATTAAAAAGAAATAATTTATATATATTTTAATTAAATTTAATTAAAAATAAAATAAAATTATATTTGATTAGTTTAAATTTAATTAAAATTAAATTTTAATTTACATTTAATTTAATTTAATTTATATTATATTATATTATATTATATTATATTATATATATATATATATATATATATTTGTATTTTTATTTAAATTTTATTTTTAAAATGTATTAAATATTTTTTTTTATTTTATGCGAGTATCTGCGGGTACTCGCGGGTTTTAATATACCCGCGGGTATTTTTTAAACGGGTACCTGGCGGGTAGTGGGTTAGGTAGCGGGTACGATTTTATCTGGCAGGTCGGGTTGCGGGTAGGCACTACTCGTGCCCGACCCGACCCGTTGCCATCCCTAATCACCACCCTTTTAAAATCGGACCCTTCCTAGTAAGGTCAACCGAACGGTAAAAACCACCACTACCCATGAACAATACCTCACGGAAAAGATCAACTTAGCCTATGAACAAGACCGAACGAAAAACACTCACAACATGCAAACATGATCGATCGGTCTTTTAACGAGTGAGGCTCTAGTATGAGCAGAAAACATTTCGAGGGCCGAAAGCTAGAACAACCGAACACTCTTAGCTTAGATCGAACACCTAACGCTTAGATCGAAAACTAAGAACTTAGACTGAATACTCAGGTAAGACCGATCACTGAAGCATGACCAAACGGTCATTAACATGTAAGGCTCATAGGAGGCCGAATGCAGTTAAGACCGAACACCAGTACGATACCGAACGCTACTACGAGACCGAACACTAGTGCGAGAACGAACGCTAGTGTGAGACCAAACATTAGTGCGAGAACGAACGTTGGTGCGAGACCAAACACTAGTGCGAGAACGAACGCTAGTGTGAGACCAAATACTAGCGCGAGAACGAACGCTAGTGCGAGACCAAACACTAGTGCGAGAACAAACGCTAGTGCGAGACCAAACACTACTAAGAGACCAACCACCCACCTAAGATCGAACGGTCACGAAGGGTAATACTCTAAAGAGATCGAGCTCAGTTAATAGCCGAGTACCTGAACATAAGAGAGCGGTCAACAGCGAACGCTCAATTTTTCGTGCATAATTTTACATAACTTCTGCAGAATTATGAACAAGCTAGATTTTACCAAAACTAAAAAATTTCCCAACTTCTAATCCTCCAAACATGCATCATATACACCTTTACACCTATCCAAGGGTACCTAAATCTTTCTAACATCATTCCAAAGAGTCTCACACCAGATTTCACTCCAAATTCTGCATAATCAACAACTCAAGGACCGAAAATCAGATTTCTTACTTTGGGTACAGTTCTGAGTGACTTAAGGGTTCTAACAAGTCCTAAACCATTCATCTAGACTCTCCCCACTAACCAATTCCACACCGGATCAAAATTCCCCAATTTCACTACTCCATTGCCTCACAACTCTCTTGACACAGTAACATAAATCTGCAGAAGTTAAAACAACATGATCACATACATTAACAATCCATCCAAGCATTCCCAATCATCACCGAACACAATTTCATACACATGCGAACCT